AATATATTCTATATAGCCCTCGTTATAGCTAATACCGGCTATTATTAAAACCTTTTATAGTATTATAGGATAACTAATCGCTATAGTAGAGATAATTCTTTCGTAGATACTAAAATTAGTAATATCTAGTCTAAGCTTAATAATTACCCCCGTAATCTTATAGCCTAGTATAATAGGCTGTTTCGATAAGAGTATATTATCTTTACCGGAAATTATATGATAGTCGGTATAGTAGAGCCTAGTAGCTATAACTCGAACGAGTACTTAGCCCTTCCCTAGCTTAGGGATTAGGATATCCGTGACTTAAAGTCCCGTCGAGATATCCGTAAATTAAAAAGCTCTTATTATAGAGTTAAAGAGTAGCTATAATAATTAGATAGGTAGATTATTACGTATACGGTTATAAAGAGGAGGATTATTTCGGTAGAAAGAGGGCTTATACTAAAGTCTACCTCCGAATAGATAGGAGTTTTATCGGGCAGAAATTCAGAAGTATTTAATAGAAGTATATATCGATCCTACTTAAGGTCCTTAGTAAGTTTTATATAGGCTAAAATATCGGCTTACTTTTATATCTTACGGCTAGCGTAGATTAGAAAGTTTCTAAGTCGTATACGAAGGTGCCCGAGGTTAGATTGCTCTTCGGTACTCTAGGGCCGAACTTTAGATTATAAGTGATTTCAAGGCCCCGTAAAAACCCCACCGTAGGGGATTCTACTCGACCGGGACCTAGAGACTTTCTGGAATTAACTTCCGGACTTTATCTTTTGATACTATCATAAGAATATAAGGTGGCCGAGGTCAGTCGGCTAAAGGGCCCGATCTCCGGTTCTTCCAAAGATGATTAGCGTAACATAGTTTGTCAAACACTAGGTGCGGGGTGAACTTGATCTAATCTAATGCGTAATTTTGCATCCCGGGCATCTTGGCCCAGCGGTAAATAGTAGATAACTAAGCAATCCGAGAACCGGAAAGAGGCTTCGGTGGAGCGAGCACCCAACTGAATTCTGGTACGTGGTTTATCTCTTTTCACACCCCACAACTCGGTGACATGCTTTTGATTCACCGAATTTCGAATCAGTTGAGGTCAAAAATGCTATTTCCCATCTCGCCGATGACTGAGCACTTCCATTAGCGCCCTATGAGTTCAATGCCTCGGCCTATTCAAAGTCCCTCGGACGGAAAACGGGGAAGTCGATTACGCCGATTCCTAAACCACGAAATCTGGCCATCCATCTTCAGCTCAGGCACTCATTTCAATAGGGGTTATGAGCATGGGTAGTCTTTCAGTCCATTGATGGCTTTCGCTGATTCTTCGACCTACTTCCTATGCATCCAATTCCCTTGACCCCTTGTGGAGAGAAAAACAGATCCATCATGTGTAAAATCTAGCACATGATGACTTTTGGAAGCCTGGCTTTGCATTAGCCCAAGCTAATGATGCTCAGTTGGGAAAAAGACAGCTAAACACGCCTAAAGTTCCTCCGATACACCTTAGAATGACAACGCGTAAAATAGCCATATCGTGATTTCTGCCCCTTCAATATTCCAATATTTGCTTTGACGCCATACGATACTGATGAACCAAATCAACATACTTCAAAGCCACACGGGAACAATACTGGCTATCATGATATACTTGGCGACGTAAGTTGATGACGCCTTTAGGTACGCAAGCTATAAAGAGGTAGTCGTACACAGACTACCTTATGAAATGTAGGTGTCCTTCAATCAGTCAAATGTGGACCAATCCTCACTGTCCATGTACTCCTTCAACGTGGCCGTCTTGGCCCCAGGCAACATATCCTGTAAATTGCAACACACATCTGGATCGCCGCCCGTATATCCGAATTCAATGATGTATTTCAATGATTCCTGGAATTCTCTCCTTAAAACCTCCGGCAAGGATTGAAAAAACTCCTCCACACTGACGACTTGAATCTCGAGCTTGACGCCCCGGGTCTCCGCCCAAAGAGTCCAGAATTCTCGCCAAGAGGCCATTTGAGACACTCCTAGAATCTGCTTTCGTGGAGAACTTTCTAGCAGTGCCTCCACGAAGATGCCAACGTCGCGATCAACATAAATCCATGGAAGCAGGACTTCCCCTGTATCTGGGATTTGCACGAGGAATGCTCCGTCTTTTTGCTTCGTAGGCCGTCCCATCCCTGCCTTCCAGTTGCTTGCATACATCCCAACCTGGATAATGCTCAACTTTTCAGCCAAACCAGGCAGCTCGTTCTTGATTCGGTTGACGACCGCCGCTTTGCCATCAAAGTGGTAGTTCCAAGTGTACTTGCCGTTCGACCAGTGCTTGGTATCGCTCAGGCTGCTGAAGATGAAATGCGTGAGTGTGGCCAAAACGGCAGGAGAATCCGCAGCGGTGGCTATATTCATTCCTCGCTTGGTCTCAAGTTTGCAGGCATATTCATTGGGGGAAATTCCGGCCGCTTGTGCAGCTGCAAAATTGGCAGGATCGAGCATAAGGCTGTAGAAGTCGGTGACTGCGAAAACTGCAGAGGCGCCACGAAAGGCGTTCTCGAGGGAGTCAATGTCATCAAGGTCTGCTTTCACAAGTTCGACGCCTTTTGAAATCCATTGTTGGGCAGCATCTGAAGATAAGTTCCGGCTAATGCCACGAATACGCCAGTCTGGAAGCTTGAGGAAAGCTCTCGCAACAGACGATCCTTGGTTTCCAGTGATGCCGATCACGACTAGAAGTTTGACGGCCGTCATATTTCCTCGATCAGATATTGAGACAATAATAGGTTATGCTTTAAGGTTTGGGGTTTCCTCTCAATAAATCAGGTGGATGGAACCTGTCGTAGCCCGGAAGTCTCCTTCTTTAATGCATGAGAAGTGACGGCCGTATTTCCGCTGATGATTGTTAAGCACGGCTGACGGAGGTGCTATCAATCGGCTGGTCACGTCTTTGCTCCATTTTTCTCATCAATGATGAGTGATCGGAAGGGTCAGAATGATTAACCAAGGTTCAGCCTGACCCACCAGCGATCGGGGTAATGAATTGTTTGTCCATAGTATTGGCTAGCTCGTCCAAGGGGTTCGAGAAACTCGCTCATATCTATGTACAATTACCTAGTAGCGTGAAGGGCTGAAGCAATACTTGATTTAATCTAAGTTGGTCAACATGCTGCTTACAAAAAGCTTAAGGAGAAGAAGCGACGGTTGGTTAGCTAGAAGAAGAGACTGACTGACGTCACCTGATATCTCAAAAATGGTTTCAGTAGACAGGTGGTGACGAGGAAAAAGAGAAGTGATCCTATCCTAGGAGAAGACCGAGTACTGTGAAGGCAAGGTTAAACTTCGGCTCGGTGTGATCACTCATCATTCCGCCTAATGATGCAACAAATGAATTCAGGACTAGTCCCCTCCAAATCTAGAGTGAGGACTTGGTAGGGACACATCCACCCTTGTTCAGGACAACTAAGTAAAACTAAGTTGATAGAACTTTTGATTCATCAACATGACAAGAGGATTGGCCACCCGCCGTGAACGTCTGAAATTATCGAATTACGAATCCCAGAACTCAATAACCGTGGCTCGGGTATCATGCAATGTCCACAATCTTGGTTTTAGTTCAGTGACACTTTATTAGTCCTAAAAACACGAGCTCATAAGATACTGTGGAATGCCATTCATCTAGGGTTATGGGATGGCCCGTCGTCCAAGCATGTGCTGTTGAACCTCAACATGATCCGAAGCTTCCGGATCCCCATTCCGAAAACGAGGGCCCCCAGGTCTCCCACGCATATTTCATGCATTCTCAGCGCTGTCACAGCTAAGTGACAGGGTTCACATTCATCCAAAACCCCACGGGGCTGTATTTCCCCTGGAAGGTCATACGCTAAGGGCTTTCAACATTACCAATCACGCCTCATGTTGTTGAAGAATTATGAGACGTTTGACCAATCGTGAGAACAGAACTAGCCCTCTCATATGGAACATAGCACTATTCATTATCCATTTTATGAATGTCATTCTATGAAGCCCACGAGTGGACATAAATGCATCGGGTGGTCATCGCCGAAGTCCTCTTAGTTGGTGTTGTCTGGTAATGCCGAGCCCCAAGAACTTGATTTCTAATGATGCAATTTGTCATCGGCAATCAACAACAGACAAAGGGGCTAAGATAGTGATCATGCCCGACTATTGCTAATAGAGACCGGTAGTAGTGAGTATTGGATCAATTTGCCTTCAGTCCTTCACATTACGCCTGCCTCTTCTTTCCGCCGTTTTCCACGCGCAAGTGCGACTATCTACTGGGATCGCCTAATACAACGTGACTAAGATGAATAATCCCAAAATAAAAGCCGGCATTGAATTGTCAATATCACTGCGTACCGAGGTTTCTGTCGACCATTGGGAATTGATCTAATTCAGCGACGCCATTGGCTGCGGGAATTGAAATATCACGCAATATGAACCAGTAACAAATTGCATGGACAGGATTCTACACTAGATGACCCACTTTGTTGGTGTTTTTTGTAAAGTGTCCGAAAAAGCTCAGATAGTATGGGCTATTAATCCTGTTGAGCTAACAGGCGATGAGGTAAGAGCAAGCGAAACCAATTCGTGATGGCTGGGTTGATTGATGGAAGAAAAGAACGACCGTCATTGGGTAGGTTGAAATGCCCCATATCCGACTGAGATACACGGAGCATATCTGTGGGTCAAATTTGCCGTGTAATTTCGAGCGTTACTGAGGCGAAACCTCTCTGTCCTCAATACATTATCTTAGGAATTTGGGGGTCAGAATTCCTGTAATGACGTTGTGAAGACCTTGTTTATACAGTCCAGATACATCGCATGCTGTAACCCGGGGGGAGGGGAAAGCTCAAGTGCGATTTCGCGCAATTTCGTGGGCGTCGATAGGCGTTACGATACAAAACGCCAGGAAAGGTGGGTCCCTCAGTATATCCCCTCTCTGTCCCTCTCTGTCCCGACAATTAATCATCTGATGTTGTTGACTTGCGCTGTAAAACCGTGGACCTGAGGATCCATGGGTATATCCACCTGGCTTATGATATTCTTCAATACCAACAAATCTTTGCATCCAGGATTATTGGTTCGGCTTGGCCGTTACCTTGAAATCATTCGTCTACAAGTATTACCGCCGCTAAAACGTTTATCCATTGTCCCAGACGCAGAGCAAACTTCGAAGTATCGATAACAGTTCTGCTTGATTTGAAATCAATCCGGGCTCGCAGACAATTTGATCTTGCCCTTATCGTGGACATCCACAGCCACGGAAGCAAACTTTTAGGCAAAGGCCTATTTCGCAGGGACCTAATTAGGGGCTTCGCGTTCAGACAGACTAGCACCGATTAGGTGGCAACAAATAATCAATGTCGACCGCGTTCCTACGGGGAAAGGACCAGAACGACGTTGGTAATCAGTTCTTTTTCAAAAATCTATTTAAGTAGACTGGCCGACCTTCTGACTTTCTACTTTGCTAAAGCTCTCCCATTAGAATTATTGCTACCCGACATAATCACCATGTCCGCTCCCCTTATTTTCATCACCGGTGCCACTGGTTTTATTGGCAGCACCACCGCGGTCGAGGCTCTGAAGGCGGGATATCGACTTCGAATTGGCGTCCGCAAGAGGTCAGAGAAGCTCGAAGAAGTATTGTCAAGCTACTTCGACCAGCTGGAATTTATCACTATCCCCGACCTGACTGATGAAGCTGCCTTTAGAGGCAAGCTTGATGGAGTGGACTTTGTTCTGCATTTAGCATCACCTCTTGCACGTGGCACAGATCAGGATGCGATTTTTACCCCTGCAGTGGAGGGAACCCTGGCCTTGCTCAAGGAGGCAGCTAAAGCGCCAAGCATCAAAAAGGTCGTGATTACTTCGTCCATCGCGTCGCTGATTCCTATTACCGGAGTACCCGAAGGTGGTATCATTAAAGGTAACATGAATGCTTCATCGGCCACATTACTGTACGAAACTGAAAAGCAATGGCTGACGTCTTGCTAAGAGGAAAACGACTGGAATTTCAATGTGGACCCAATGGCCGATTTCGTTGATCCTAACAATCCCGATGCAACACCAATGACGTTGTACCGAGCATCCAAACTGCTTGCAAACAACGCCACCTGGAGGTTTTGGGAAACCGACAAACCACATTTCTCATTGGTCACTATTCATCCAGCATTTGTTTTTGGTACCAATCTCATGCAAACTTCCGCCCAGGAAGTCCAAACAGGATCCAACGGAATTCTCTGGGGTAGTTTGATGGGAGGCGTTCCACTCGGCGGTATTAACGGTGTGCACGTCCAGGACGTTGCTGAAGCTCATATCAAGGCTTTAGACCCAAAGATCAAGGACGGCTCAAAGTATCTGCTTTCCGGTCCCCCAACAACTTGGAAAGAAGTGGCCAAGGTGGCACTCAAATCCTACCCCCATGTTGGCATGAAGATCACTGAGGAGGTTGAAAGAATTCCTTCCATGCCTACTGATACGACCAAAGCAGAGGTTGAGCTTGGAATGAGATGGAGATCATGGGATGAGATGGTGCGTGATGTGATAGATCAGCAGCTGGGCTTCTTGCAAGGCTGAGTTAGACACGCTGTGTTTTCCTTTATCCGCTCTATCCGCTCGGGCTATCCATTTCCGTTGGCAATTTCTCGGCGTGGGCCTTGTCTTCTGGCTCAGCAGAATCATGAGGACAGGAATACTGCCGAATTTCAAATTCAGATTCTCCACCTTATGCTCACAGACTGTGTTTCCAGACGTAGCCTGAAGCACGCTAGTCTATATTAGGTTTCGCTGCAGATTCCTCTAATGCTTGAAATAGACCAGGAATTGATAGGGACACTACAGGTTTACCGGAGACACTGCGATGAACATAATCCCCGGCCGATCTGACCACCCACCACAACGCAAAATTTCAAATACTCCGCGCTCCTATAATACATACGTTTCAAGTATGAGTAAAAGAATTACTGTCTGTATATATGTATAATTCATTTACGCTGACCCCTCGCGAACAATATGCAGCCTATAACAACTATATATCTATGTACATAAATAAGTTATAAGTGGAGAAGATAATCGTGAAAGTTTATGCGGAATTTGTGAAGCTGCATCGTATGTAACCCCTAGGTAGACTTCCGCAAAGCCCACAAATGGGCCCGAGGTCTGGGCCCAAAGCCTAACCAGCAGTGGGCTATGGGCCTGACCTCTAGGGCCTAACTAAGCCCACGGCCCATTAGTGGGGGCCTTATGGGCCCCCAATAAAGCCCAATTCTATGCATAACTATTGTCTTGGCGCTCATAAATCTTATGATTAATGCCTGTTTTTTACGCACGTTTTAGTCTGTAAGCCGAGATCTCGGCCCGACGGTCTACTAAACCCAATACGGGGGTTTAACTCCCTAATCCGGGGGTTCAACTACTTTAAGAATCAAGATCTCAAGATTCAGTGGCTAACGTCCGGTAATGAAGGTTATAGATAAAACTAGCTATAGTATATACCAGTTTTTATAGATATTGCTAGAAAAAAGTCTAATATTACGATAATTTAGTAGTATTCTAGCAATTGGAGAATTACGGAGTGTTAATATACAGAAATATATATTTCATGTTAACTGAAGTAAGTGCATCTTTTAAGTGAAGTGTAAATTCAATCGCTACTTTCTTATTCGTGGGTTTATATGGTTGATTTTTATACTAAAAGATAGCTAATCCTCTCTTATCTAACCTACGTTTACATATAAGTGATAAATTGACGACTCTAGAGGGGACGGAGGTTCAAAAACATACTATAAGCTATGGGGGTGAAATTTTTTGGGTGGACAAATTAGTAAATAGGCGGGGAGACAGGCTATTCTTAGGCTATCTATAGGCTTTAAATAGGCCGAGTCTACTTAATATACACTATATAGCTAATGAGATACTAGTATCGCGATCATCCGTTTAAATCTCGACTAGTGCTATGATAATCCTCTGTTTATATACTCTGTTTGCCGCGTCGATAGTTCTCTTACTAAGAAGGTAGGTTATATCTAATTCTTCCTTTATTACCCTAATTTACTTAAATCTTTCCTACTATACTACTTTAAAGTTCGAATTCACTATTAATTAACTATTACTAATTATATCACAAAGCTAGCAAACCGAGGTTAGATCGTCTTAGTTAAGTCTATTCGACTCTAAGCCCGACGACTTATCGTTTATTACCCCTTCTAACTACCTAGCTACCCCGTCTACCTCTTAGTAGGTTGATAGCTTCTCGTTCGTTTAGCCGTCTGTTCCTTCGTCTATTGCCCTAGATCCCCTCGAACGCTTCTAACGAGTAGGTCCTAGTAGGAGAGGCTAGTTTTTTCTATATAGCGGGATGAATTATAGCGATTAGGTCGATTAGTAGTTAGAGACTAACTATGGATTAAATAATAAGATTACTTAGGAGTTATAGTATAGTTCCGCTTCGGAGACCTAGAAATAATTTAAGTAAGTAGCGTATATAGGCACTAGGAGCCCGAAGGTTATATGTAAGCGTTACGATGTAATTCTTGAGCACCCTTATACTATAAAGAAGGATACTAATAGGAGGATTAGTCGTTATGGCACGACGACTATTACCCGCTATCTTTAGACCTTAACCTGCTAAAAGGCCACTAGAGTACGGTAATAAAGAGGGAGATTAAAGGGATTTCTACACTCGGTATATAAGAGCCTATGATTCTTTGAAAAAGCTAACTAGTTATTTCTATCGAAGTAGGGTCATCTAGCCGATCGACCGTTCTCGTAAGAGGCCTAGGAGGATAAACTCTTATAGTTTATCACTATTAACCGCCTTCCGTTTAATCTCGTTAAATATCTAACCTTCCGTGACTTGATCTCGCACTCGTAGTCCGCCCTAACTCTAAGCCTTCTAATTATATAATCGGCTGATATAATTCGACGTCGGCTGTCTGTTCGTGTTAAAGAACGATAGCGGGATACACTCGGCTTGCTACTAGAGCATACGAAGATCTTAGTTGCGTTAGACTATTAGATATCCCCGTTTAGGTAGGCGTTTATGGCTATTACTAGCTATTTTATCGACGCCGACTAGGTCTACCGCGAGGTGCTGCTTAGCTTTAAACCCCTTCATGGCATATATTCGGGTGCGAACCTAAGTGCTGTTCTTATGAAGACGCTTACTAAGCACGGAATTATGGATCGAGTCTTTAGATTAACCACTAATAACGCGTTAAATAATAAGACACTAGTTAATACGCTTTAATAGTCTTTATCTAGCGATATTAATATTATCCGAGTCCCCTATCTTGCCTATATGATCTAATTAAGTCTGAACTAATTACTTAATCGTTTAAAAGCTATCCTACTAAATAATACGACTAAGACTATATAGATAGACCGCTAAGTCAACCTCGCTAAAGCGAATGCACAATCTAGGGAGATATCGTATACCTTAAATAAGGTACGATATCTTACTATCTACATCCGCGGTAGTCCGTAGCGTCGGGAGTTATTCACTGCTGTCTAACCCCTAGGGTAAGGGCTTATACCGATCTAGGATGTTAGAACTCGATGGAATTTAACGTTCCTAATGCTACGCCGGGTAAAGAGACTCCGCTTTTTTATTATGAAGTTCTATAATTAGTTTAATTACGAAGACCTCGCACTTAACGATGATTAATAGCGCTAGATTAACTACCTTCTTTGTCTTATAAAGCCATTCTTTGATTATACCCTTACCCTTTTAAAGACTCGAGACGTAATATCATATCTTATCTTCTAGATCTATAACTTGCTGACAGATCCTAGTGTATCGGGGGCTGATCCACATAGGACGAAAGGGGACTAGGCAGTAGCTTCCTCTTGGTCATAGGATCCTACTGTCTAGGAAANACAGATCCTAGTGTATCGGGGGCTGATCCACATAGGACGAAAGGGGACTAGGCAGTAGCTTCCTCTTGGTCATAGGATCCTACTGTCTAGGAAAGGAAAGAATGTCTTGAGAACAATAAAGTCGATTGAACTGCTGGCTAAACAGTGATGTAAACGAGCGTTTAAATACACGATTTGCAGTGGTTTAGGCAGCAAGGAAATAGGGCAGAGATCTAATAATCTGATAGATCTTAATGCAGGATAGAAATGTGCAGAAAGGACGTCGGGATCCTTAGTCAAATAGCCAATTAGGCCATAGTCGATATCTCTATTAAAGAGATACATATAGAGGGGCTTTCTGCAGGGGAAAAACAATAGTCCGGCCCGGCAGGCTGCCGGGCCCTCAGGCAACACATAAGCACACATATATAAGCATATACCCCCACACACCCACATAGGCTGACACACCCCCTTAGGTCTTTAGATCGGAGGACTGATAAGCTAGAGATAAAAGCAACTATATAAGGTCGTGTGGTAAGTACTCCATACCTATCTATCTCATAAAGATCTTATATTTCTAGCGGCTAAGTGGCTTAGTCAGGCCATCAGTAGGTAGGTCGGACGAATTCAGCTATTTAATACGTAGGCGTTTCGCCTAAACTTCCTAGCGAATCTATAACTAATAAATATCTATATATCGAAGCTTAGTCTAGAAGATAGATCTCTCTCTAGTTAGGAGGTTAATCGTCTGCTTATTATCGTATTACATCACATCCTGGTGGCTAGGGTCGAATCGGATGAATTTAAATAAGCGTCTTATCTAATAGGATTACTTAGCCGCGTAGCTAAGCGTAAGTAATTCAGCTTCTATGGTCGATGTAGTGATAGTCTTTTGTTTCCTAGCCTTCTAATCGATAGGGCTACTAAATAGGTAAAAGAGAAAACCTTTAGAGCTTTTACGGTCAGCATTATTAGTAAAGCTAGCGTCTAAGTAGGCGGTATATATAGTTATCTCTTTCTAGCTATCAAAATAGATTACTAGGTCTTTCGTCCTATAGAGATATAAGATTAGGTAGTTAACGGCCTCGAGATAGCGGTTAGTGTAGCGTATAAGCGAGCGAGTAAGTAATTAGTTAGTAAAGGCAGTCTCTAGCCTAGTCTAAATTACTAGGTAGAGCGTTAAGCCACACTTCTGCTAGTATAGGTTAACTAACCTAGGATTCGGAGGGTGTTCGGTAGGATAGAGAATACCGGAAAGGTTAGATAGTAAGGGCGTAGCTAGAGGTTTCCTAGCTAGAAGGTTAAACTTACTAGTAATCTTCTCTATATAGGCACCTTAGCTTAGCTAGGTCTTTCGAGATAGTCGGTAACGTATGATTCGAATTCCTACGAATTAGCTAAGTTTACTAATATACTTTATCTTAAACTTCTCCTCGAGAGATTATCGAATATAGTTAGTATAGTTAGTTTAGGATATATAGTATATAGCTAGGAAATCATCAACGAATACCATCACAATAACGTAGCTATTAGTATATAGGGTAGGATCCTCTAGGTAAGGGCGGAGGCTAATAGTAGAAAGCACCTTTCTAATATCCTCTTCCTATTTCTTACTAGAGATCCTTAGGCTATATACTATACGTTTTAATCTTAATACCTTACTAGTTAACCCTAGGCCTAGTGGATACCGGTAGAAAACGTCCTAGTCTAATTAGCTATTTAGGAAAGCGTTTATAGTATCTATCTAAAAGATCTCGAGGTCGAATTTAGTTATTAGGGCTATAAGCGTACGGAAGGTCCTCGCGGTAAGCGTACTAGTCCTAGCGTCCTAGAAATTAGGTGATTACTAGTCGCCTCGCATATATAATCTAGCTTTAAAGCGCGTAAGATTACCTAATTCGTTAGATTTATAGTCGAAAACCTATCTTATCGGTATGAATTAGTGTTTTAGGTAGTGTTTCTAGCTAATTTAATAGCTATAGTCTCTTATATAAGCTTAATTAACTAGATCGGTAGAGATCGGTTTAAAGGCGTATATATT